ATAACGGACGGACGGCAAACAAGCTAGAAAATTTACTCCGCTTTGTAACTTTGCAAGCACACAGAAAAAAGAATGTCAAGACCGCCGGTTATTGACGACTGCAGTCACTGACCACAACCGTCAAGATAGTGGCGTTTTATATGTTACAGACATAAGAACCGGCACAAAGTTTTTAGTCGACAATGGGACAGGAGTTGGTGCTGTGCACTCGAGAAAAACACACCTGACCCAAAACTAAAACTGCGAAAAGGAAACAGGTCTGACATTAAGACGTACGGCGAAAGGAGGGACCAATTAAATTTTGATCCTATATCTAATATTTCATGGGGTTTCAACATAGTAGACGTCCTCGTTCCTGTAATCGGCACTGATTTTCTGCAAATCCACAAAATATTGGTTGACGTCAGAAATAAGAAAACTTATACTTGCCGAACAGAGTAGAGAAATTAAAAGAATTATATCATCTCGAACTTTTGCACGACTTCACTCATAGCATACCTGACGTGTCGATTTTTTCAAAAATTGATCTAGTCCGCGCTTACCATAACATTCCAATTCATCCGGACGATGTTCTTTAAACAGCCAATAATACCCCCTTTGGACTATACGAATTCGTCCGCATGCCTTTCGGACTGAGGAATGCTGCACAAGGTTTCCAGCGTTTTATTAATTAAGTGGTACGGAGCTTACCGTCTGTAAATGCTTACATAGATTACCGACTTATACCAAGCAAAGCGGAAAATGAACATCCAACTCATCTGAAAATGTTTCTTGAGAAGCTACACGAGTATGGGTTGGCAGTCAACTCTGACAAATGTGAGTTCGGAAAAAAATCCCTGACGTTTTTAGGTCACGTACTTGAATGTATGAAAATAACTAACAATTTTATCATTTCGAAGTTACTGTCTCAATTAATATACATTGAACCGTAGATATAGTGGCTTTATGAAGTGAATTATCACGAGAACTTGTCAATTTCCAAACCTACTTCATACAAACACCACAAACCTGTATATCGTATGCAGTGAGGAATAAGATTTGCGAAGACAATTGCGAATTCTATCTGGATCATCCCATTGAATATAACATAACACCACGTTCTATCACCAATTCTCTTTACATCCGATAACATTTTCAAACTTAAATTGATTGCTCCTTCTTCCATCTCAGTGTCAACAACGTGTTTGTCTAATGAACAAAAACATATTTGTGTTGACCTCTTTCTTGTTTATGATTATACTTTGTTTATCATTGATCACCTCAGTCTATCTCATTAATCAAAAGATAATATGGTATTCTCTATTGTGTATCGTGGGTGTCATATGAATGTTGTTTGTTTATTTGACTGACATCAAAGATGAGTGAAATTCTCATTTTACATATAATTACTACTTTGCTAAAAAAGAAGATGAAGTGAAAGCAAATGTTCTGGTTGTCAATTCATAAATGGTCTTGCTTTAGCTATGAATAAACACTTCAATCATCGACTATCTCCGTTGTATTGTTCAACTAACTTCATGTTTTATGATAAGAAAAAGTCGTTTTGTGATTCCTGTTTTCTCACACTCCTGGTGGATTTACATATACTGGATGAGTTGCATAGCGTAAAACATGAAGTGTATCTCTCAGGAGTAAAAAAACGAAGATGGAGAGAGATTTGTAAATCTAGGTGCATTCAACAAATTGATTATAGGCATCATGACATCACACAAAAAATGTATTCACAAGGCTACACGGGTCTCTCCGGATCACACTGCATAGAATCAGACAGATCAAGATAATAAAAAACGGTGAGAAGCCAATCAGCAACAGCCGAACAATAACATAGGAAATCAATGACTGAGCTGAATAAACGGAAGCAAAATAGCAAGTGAAGAGGAGCATTACAGCCAACAAGCAAAAGTACGTGGAGCACCCAGCAACGAGAGCAGATGAAGCCGTAGCTGCAAGAAACATGAAACAACTATACGAAACGACAAAGAAACTGGCAGGAAAATATAGTAAACCAGGGTGAACGGTAAAGAACAAAGTGTTCAAGTCAATCAATGAGATTGAATGTCAGAAGAATAGATGAGTGGAATACTTCAAGCAACTCTTGAATAGACCAGCTTTGTTGAGTCCACCGGAACTGATCTGTGTGCATTTAGGAATATGATATAAGAATTCGGGAATTCTGTCCAATTCATCGCATTGATTACAACATCACACCACGTTCTATCATCATTTCTCTGACATCCGATTACATTTTCAAAGTAAAATTGAGTACTCCTTCTTCAATTTCAGTGTAAATAGCGTGTGCTTTTTCTTAACAAACATATTTCTGTTGACCTCTTTTATTTATAGAAACAGTAATGATCATACTTTGTTGTCAATTATCACCTCATTCCATCTCATAATGAGATCATATGGTATTGTCTAGACGATGAGTGGGATAAGAGGTCTATACACACACATACACTCATATAAAAACAGTCAAAGTTGTAAAGTAAATAATTAACAAGTTGAAAACGTAACTAAAGGAGAGCCGTTGAATCGGCCTGTCCAGAGGCTAAAATAAGCTTTGTGGGCTTGGCATAAGACCAGCCAGTACACACTCATACGATTCAACAGGTGTTAGAACCTGGACCACTAAAGTTAGTTGCTAAGTGATGAGAATGGATTAGATATGGAAATGTGTACTGTTGACACTTTCTAGGTTCCATTGTCAACTATTATTTAACATTATTTCAATCCTGTGACTAAATAGAACTATATAAGAAGTTCTCTGAAGATGTACATACTTTAAAAAAGATTGATCAGTTTGATGCTTAACATAAATGCCAACGAGAGAATATAAATACTTACAAATATTATGCGTTAGATAGTTTATCTTTATTGTTCTAACGAACAATTAAAGCATGACCAACCAGCTGAAAAACCACAAAACATCTTATATAAATGGTAGATACAAGCAAGCACTGAATAAGATATTCTAGTTAAATTTGAAGTTCATTCCTGGTCTTTATGTTAACCTATTTAAACATTTGTATTATCATTTTTAGCTATATTTGGAGCAATCCTACAGTTAACTGTGAAAATATGGTGTGGCAACTCGAACTGATGTACGTACGTACGAAGTTGTGCGTTGTTACTGACTGACTAATTTTATTTATTTGAACACATAAATATTGATGCAAAGGGGCACGGAATACATATACGCCACACAATCACTTGATTTTAGTGTGGGCTGTGATACTACCCCAGTGCTCAGACCGTCGCTTCTCTGAACGTCATCATCAGTTATGAAATGTGTACATTTCTCCACATATAACTCATAGATTAGATCTTGATGTTGATTAGTTTCTAATTGATTATATCTCGGATTGACGAGACTCTATGGACGACCTTTGAATAAATCTTCAATGTTATTCACTAATGTATATATTACAAAAAAACCAGAGAATTAAAGTGGTTCGAAGACTTATCACGGTTTGAAAAAGATTCAGAGGTACTGAAATAATAGTACATACGAAAGAGGGACTCATCCATTATGGCTCTATAATAGTCAACCTCTCGAGCCATGATAGGGTCGTCAGAACCTTTTTAGCTTCAACCACATAACTTCAATATTGTCAGTGTGTAATCCAGTTGTAGGGTCCACAAAAAAACGCTTACAAATAACGACATTATGCACATATCCAAGTTTTTGAAGGTAACCGTATTCATCAGGTACTGAGGATAGCGTCATCATCATGAAATCTTTCAAACACTTCTGATTGACTCGTCCATAAATTAGAGGCTCATTCTGTCATTTAGTTTGGATATTTATTGTTCAATAATATGTACTTAAGATTGTGTTATTTTCATTCTTTCTCCTCATTTTTTGCTTTTCTTTTTTTTAATCAATAGTTCGAAACTGACGAAGTACATTATAAATATTACGAAATGTGTATGAATGATAGAAATAATATAATAAAACAATACAAAAATAATAAAGAAACATCATGTAGTCCAACAATGATTGAACAAAGTGATAATACAGAACCAATTCTAAATCAAAATGAAAATGTAAAAAAAATAGCAAAAGAATTAAAACATCAAGAAGTTCCAAAAGTCGATCGAATTCAAATCAACGAAAAAATTGAAAGAAAAAAAGAATAATTTTTCGTTCTAATCTTTCGTTTTTCTACTCGCCATCCTCTCGTCGTCGTCGTCGTCGTTATTTCATTGTTATATCAATGATTGAAATCATGCTTCAATTGAAACTGGACTACCATGCAAGCACTGGATGCCTGTTTCGCCCCAGTAAGGGACACTTCAGTTCCAGTGCGCATGCACGATCCCTCATCCCGCGAGGATCGAACCCGTGACCTATCAGTAATACGCAAGGCGCTTAACCAACTAGACCATAGTGGTATGACTTAAATTGACTCATGATTTCAATCAGTGAAATTTCTAAAATCTGCACAAATCCCCTTCTGATATATTGTGATATGTTTAGAAAATAATATGTATATAATTGCTTAGAGTCTATAATACAGTAAAATCTAATTGTTTGACTGGTTAGTATCGATAAGATTTCTCGCCTCGTAAGATTTGAACCCAGGACATATCAATCTCTGGATTGTGGATACACAGTGTTAAGGAGTCCAATAAGATAATAAAATGGCTATCCAATGCTTTCATGTTATTCATGGAGGTTTAACTTCAATTCATTGATGAATTGAACTATTGAAACTTCTATAATATCCACAAGGAATCCTTCTTTTATATATTTTTGATTGATATGATCTTATTCCATCACTTAGTGTGAATGTCATAGTTCTACATATGGTCTGTCGTTTAATGAATACTACATCTGTAACACTCAGTGGTGTCGGATAGGAACTTTTAAGAATATCATTCTTGTCAAAATGTCAGATAAAATTTGGTAGATAAGCAGGTAATTGAGTAAAGATGCAAATGATGATTGAATAGATGAAGTGAGGATGGACGAATGTAACAATTCATTCGAGTTGAGCATGACGATCGGGATACTATTGACAACTACTACTACTACTACTACTACTACTACTACTACTACTACTACTACTACTACTACTACTACTACTACTACTACTACTACTATTACTACTACTAATACTACTACTACTACTACTACAACTACTACTACTACTACTACTACTACTACTACTACTACTACTACTACTACTACTACTATCACTACTACTACTACTATTACTACTACTACTATCACTACTACTACTACTACTACTACTACTACTATCACTACTACTACTACTATTACTACTACTACTATCACTACTACTACTACTACTACTACTACTACTACTACTACTACTACTACTACTACATAACCAAGACATTTTGTACCGTGCATCAGTTGATTTACTATTTTAACTTAAACCAATTTATCATGTTGGTACTACTCCACTTATAAATACAGTTCTGCATCTCTGATCCTGCACGTTTTTTTAATTTATGTAATCTACTTTTGTTGACCAACGGTTATCTATTGAAAATTTCTGTTTCAAATAAGTAGTTTCTTTTTTTCCGATCAAAATTATTTTTTCTTTTGATGGATTGTTGTCTTCTGAAATGTCAAGTGAAGCTTTATTGTCGAGTTTATTAGTATGGTTGTCATTTTGCAAGTCAGAGTAGAGGTGAGGATGATATTTCACTTTTGAGAGCCTTTTTAAGGATTCTTTAATAAACTAGTCCATTAGATAAATAGTTTAAATCTATGTTACACAACTAAAGGGTATGACAATATAAGGCAGGCATGAATAAAATTACCAATGTTATATGTGAAAAATGATGATCATTCTCATCTGTTTCTATAGAACTACTTGAATATGATGTGATTTGTAAATAAGCAAATCAGTTAATGAAGGTCAGAATGAGTTGTAGTAAGACTTCTATCAATATAATAATATTAGCAGTAGTGATTATACCAACGTTGTGTGAATTCAGTATGTAATAAATGCGGTATAGTCAAGTTAATTACGATGAAGAGGAATCAATCTGAATTGGGAAAGATGAATGGGAAATTTAAGAAAGATATAAACACAAAAATAATTTGGATAAGAGGTTCTGAATACGAATTACTACCGAGCTAATTAAGCTCTCTGTGTGAGTGAGATTAGTTACATCAATGTTTTGTTTGTGCATTCTTTAGAGTTCAGATAATTCTCGAAACACCTAATGGTCTAGTTCCAGATGGAAAGAGACTTAGATTCTCATCTCACAACCACCGTTAGTTCCCTAAAAAATCTTTTTGTTCATTGTCAACTAACACGATGCACACGATTATAGGCTCTTCTCGATTGCTTTCAATTACTGAACATTGAACCTTATAATATGCAACAAAAAGATTGGTGCTGACGCTACTGTGAAAGCATTAAACAAACATGACTCAGGTAATCAGTCAGTTCACACATGAGATTATTGAACTCATGGTTTACCTTTATTTGTAAAATAACTAAGATAATCCCTTGATTATAAAGAATTATTGAACCTCAAATAAGCTTGAATGATAGTGTTATATATTATAAGTATATCTATAGATATTTAGTGATGGAATAGTTTGACCGTAAAATGCATGGAAATATCATTGTTCGCAGTAACAATGTAAATAACTGCAGTCAAAACGAAATAATTATACTGAGCAACACAGATGAACAATAAATGATGATGAATGATGACTGTGATGGACTTGAATTGTCTGAGCTCAAATATAGAAGTCAAGCACACAGCACATAGAACATGGAAGAGAGCATGATTATAGAGCAACTATTCAATAAGTTACTTGAAAAGATACAACATCAACCTTCTGAGCAACTGATCTTCACTCTACAATCTCAATATTTGATCACAGTTTTTAATGTTGAATATCGTTTTATCAAGTGAATTGTAATGTGATCGTCAGAAATCAATTCACTGGAAGCACAGCTTTATGATAATCAAAATAGTGAATGTTACATATACATTTCAACTCAGAATTCACAACTCGTTGAAATACAGTTCATTCTGGGCTCAACTAAGAATTTGTTCTTTGCTTCAATCCCACCGATATATACATTAATTCATCATATTGGAGAAAGCAGAAACAAGTATCGAACTAACTAAACTTACAGTAAAATGAGTACAATGAATATTTGAACAAACCAGTCAATATTGTAAGAAGGTATTTTGTTGCGGGAAGGTAAGGCCGTGTGTAATTAATAACATTCGTCTTCAGATTCAACCAGTGTATACTTTCCATCAAATATTTGTCTCAATGTATCTTGATCATAACCAAAACCATCTTTCACCTAGCCAACAATGATTTTCAACTTATGTGGCAATCAATATGGATTGATATTTTGCCAAACTGCTCCTGGTGCCGTAGATGATGAAACTTGTGACATGTATGCTGCACTACTCCACTTAATATTCTGAATGATTTTCCACAAGATCTTTTTGAATGCGAAGAGGAAAACGACATTCTAATAGTATAGTTTAGTTAATCTGAACATTCGTATGCATTAGACCATGTATTGTACTATGGTGTTTTGATGCACTGTTTGAAGCTACTGATATTTGTATAAGTAGTAAAGAAATCAATCAGTAATGTCCAACAGAAGTGACTGAAGCCGGACTTCATGTTCGTATTCAGTTTATAATGAAATATTTGCCAAATCAAAATAAATCAATAAGACGATGCCGCTTGAACCGAATGATAATGGGTTCGAGTCACAGAGGGAACATCAATTATGGGATGTAGGTATATCCAACTGATGATTCACAAATAAGATGAAAAGCGAATCATGGATTCCATCGCTAATCACCAGTCATCTTTTTATACCAATCACTGTGACGGATACACTCATCATTAGCGCATATTCTGGATAAGCATATTTGACTATTACCTAAGTGTATGCTTTCAATGTACTTCCCCATTACAAGCTCCAACTCCTTCCTCTAGTTAGCGGGGCTGATGCGCATTAGAATATCTAGCTTATTGGTCTTTGGTCACTGAGTCTTTGTTCTCGTTCGCTGATTAGGTGAACTCGTAATAACTTGAGATTTAGCAACAGATGACTGCAGTTAACATGAAACTGCTTTGACTAGTCAATTCACATAAATTTTTATTCAAGTCATTCCTGTAGCTCATCTAAGGTTATTGCCGATCATATATCCAAGTTAATGAGGAGGGTTTAATATGAAGTCAGCATTTCCATAATTCAGAATGCAACGTCGCTAAAAATATGCCAAACACACAAAATGAATTATAGCATACGAACACTGACCTGGAATTTAAAGGATGTTCTTACACCACAACTCTGATGCTTCTTGGCGAAGCCGAGAATATTCCGACGTCAAAACACTAACTCCCTTCTAATAAACTAAACAACACTTATTTAATGTAGATACATGGAACGTCCGGACAATATGTGATACCAAGTGGACCATTCAATCATTATGTAAATGAGGAAGTGCAACTTGACAGTGCTCGATATCAGCAAAACCCATTGGACACAACTTATTCAAATGGTTTGGATTCGATGGAAATGCTCTGATGCCGTGTAAAGAAGCACCCAACGCACTTGTAAGATGCGAACCTCATGAATCTAGAAACATCAAAACATCCTTCAAAACAAAGAAGGAGGGAATCATAATGAATGCTACTAAATGTTATGCACACAGCAATGATAGCAACGACAACGACAAAGATCGAGTTTTCGATGTTGTGCAATCGATAATGGAGAAGTTCTCGTCAAAAGACCTGATCATTCTCATTGGAGGCCTGAACGCCAAAGTAGGAATGTATAACACCGGCTTTGAAAATATCATGGAACGACATTGACTGACCGGGAGAAAGAAATGGTATTGCAGAGAGATTTGTCAATCTATGTGCATTCAACAAATAAATTATAGACATCATGACATCACCACACAAATGCATTGACAAAGCTACACGGGTCTCACCGGATCACACTGCATAGAATCAGACAGATCAAGATCAAAAGAAACAGGGAGAAACCAATCAACAACAGCCGAAAAATAACATAGGAAATCAATGACCGAGCTGAATAAACGGAAGCAAAATAGCAAGTGTAGAGGAGCATTACAGCCAACAAGCAAAAGTACGTGGAGCACCCAGCAACGAGAGCAGATGAATCCGTAGCTGCAAGAAACATGAAACAACTATACGAAACGACAAAGAAACTGGCAGGAAAATATAGTAAACCAGGGTGAACGGTAAAGAACAAAGTGTTCAAGTCAATCAATGAGATTGAATGTCAGAAGAATAGATGAGTGGAATACTTCAAGCAACTCTTGAATAGACTAGGTTTGTTGAGTCCACCGGAGATCGAAGCAGCCCACACTGATTTTCTTATATATGTCACTCTTGCTAATGAAACAAAGACCTCTGAACTGTGTGCATTTTGGGAATATGATATAAGAATTCGGGAATTCTGTCCAATTCATCGCATTGATTACAACATCACACCACGTTCTGTCATCATTTCTCTTACATCCGATAACATTTTCAAAGTAGAATTGATTACTCCTCCTTCAATTTCACTGTAGACAACGTGTGCTTTTTCTTAACAAACATATTTCTGTTGACCTCTTTTATTTATAGAAACACTAATGATCATACTTTGTTGTCAATTATCACCTCATTCCATCTCATAATGAGATCATATGGTATTGTCTATACTCTATTCTGTTTAGTGGGTGTAATATAAATCTGAGTTAGAATGAAATATTTCGCTTCGTAATAATCTGTTCATGTGACTGACAAAATGATTAGAATTCTGACATTAGAGAAGATTACTACTTCTCTTAAGGGAAAATCAATTGAAATTAATCACTGTTGTGGTATTTATAAAACTCTCGGGTCCAATCTTCATGACTTTTCATTCGCTTGGTTACCTGTATTTGTATATTGTTCAACTGTGTATCATAGATCTACATAATTGTACGGTAACATTGCAGCTGGTCAAACACTGGTAACAAACATATATATATGTATCACAATGTATTTTAGCTATAGCTCAATTCATAGAAACGGACTACTGATTACATCTCCTGTCTCAGTGGAACTGTCATAAGACATGTTTATGAAAAGGAATATATATCGATGTATAGGCGAAAGAGAAAAGTAGACAGAAAGGTAGTACGTTGATTTTAGAAATAAGATTGTACCGTGGAGATCGGCGTTACATTATCATTTACGCTTCATTAATTCTGTCGTTCAAAATTTTCGAGATAAATCTTAAGGCTTCTTATGTCACTGGTCTAAATGACAGTTATTAAATGACTTTCTGAGATACATGAATTTCAGAAATGCGATACCAACTATTGA